GATTTAGAACTTTTTAGAAGTAGGGTAGGGGCCCTTATAGACACAGGGGCTACCCGTAGCTATATTAGTCGAAGAGCGTTGAAGAAGTTGAGGCTAGGTTTGAAAGTCTAGAAGTTGGAAGACCCGATAGTCAGTATCCTCGCAGACAACCGCACAATGCGTGTTGAGGATTACGTCGAGGGAGTCCAAGCGTATCTGCGCTTAAAGGCTGGCAAGGTAGAGAAAGTACTCCGTTCCCTGACTCTCCTCGTAGAGGATAACCTCCCATTCGATATAGTCCTAGGTATGGACTGGGGAGAGGCAGCAGGGCCACACTCCATTTGAGAGAGCATGAGTGTAGGCTCCCTAGCCCGCCAGGCGAATTAAGACTGCTCGCCTGTATCATGTGTCAGGAGTAGATAACTCCTTGGCACATTGCTGCCTCAGTGCTCCCGCGTTCGCGCGATTAGTTCAAAAGGAGCAGTTAGAAAAACAGGTATTCGTAGCCTACGTGAGGCCTGCCACTGAGTCTACCGAAGAGAAGCCAATAGACCCCGCTATTGCCAAGTTGCTGGAAGGGTTCAAAGATTTAGCAGAGCCGCCAACAGGAGTAGTACCGCGGCCAATCCAGCACCGCATTGAGATAGAGCTTGGCAGTAGAACTCCTAAGGGTGCAGTTTACAGGATGTCCCCAAGGGAGTTAGAGGAGTTGCGTAAGCAGTTAGACGAACTCCTCGAAAGGGTTGGATTAGGCCCGGTTTGTCTCTTTTCAGAGCACCCGTGTTGTTTGTCCCCAAAAAGGAGGGAGAGTTGTGCATGTGTATTGATTATAGGGGTCTGAATGCCATTGCTGTGAAGAATGCTGAGTCGCTGCCCAGGATAGACGATCTTTTAGATCGAGTGGAGGGCTGCAGATATTTCTCGAAGATAGATTTGAAGTTCGAATATCATTAGATAGAAGTTCATCCTGATGACCAGTACAAACTGCTTTCCGGACTAGATATGGGCACTACGAATTCATCGTGATGCCTTTTGGATCAACCAATGCGCCAGCCACATTCCAGCGCTGCATGAATGATGTGTTTAGGCCATGGTTAGATAGATTCGTCGTAGTTTACCTAGACAATATCTTAGTTTTCAGTAGGACCTTCCAAGAGCATCAGGGTCATTTGAGGCAGGTCCTGGAGAAGCTAAGAGAGGCTAACTTCAAGATCAATGCAAAGAAGTGCAAGTGGGCCAAGACACAAGTCCTGTACTTGGGCCACGTCTTAGACGGAGATGGAATTAAACCTGAGGATAACAAGAGAGCGGCAATTAGAAAATTGGTCGACGCCCCGCACAATGACAGAATTGCGGTCGTTCTTAGGCCTAGCTAATTATTACAGGAAGTTTGTGAGGAATTTTTCTACTATCGCCGCCCCTCTTCGCAAGTTGCTCAAGAAGGATGCAATCTGGAAGTGGGACAAAGATTGTACATCCGCTCTTAAGAAGTTAAAGCGGGCGTTGATAGAGTACCCTGTCCTCAAGGTAGCAGATCCGTCCTTGCCATTTTTCGTCACCACGGACGCCAGTCAGTATGGTATAGGCGTCGTGTTGCAGCAGGATGACGACAATGGCTATAGACCCGTAGAGTTCATGCCAGCGAGGCCGTCAGAGAAAGTAGCCACCTCGACTTACGAGAGAGAACTCTACGCTCTCAGGCAGGCCTTAGAGCACTGGAAGCATTACCTGCTTGGGAGGCACGTCAAAGTTTATTCAGACCACGAGACTCTTAGGTGGCTGAAAACGCAGGCCAAGATGACACCTAAGCTAACTAGGTGGGCCGGTGAGATAGACCAGTATGACTTTGAGCTCAAACCAGTCAAGGGCAAGTACAATGTAGTTGCGGATGCTCTAAGTAGGAGATCAGATTACTTCGGAGCTATCGTTCACTATCTGGATATAGGGAGAGACTTGCAAGAGAAAGTAAGACAGGCGTATGCGCAAGACCCTATTTATAGCGACCTCCTCAAGAAAGTTAAGGAGGCACCAGAGACTGAACCACATTACTGCACTACAGAGGAATTACTGTTCGAGAAGACTGATGTAATAGATCGTTTGTGCGTTCCTAATAGTGAGGAGATCTGTAGTTTAATCCTAGGGGAATGCCACGACACAGAGGGACATTTCGGTTGGCAAAAGACTTCAGCCAATCTGATGCATAGAGTACGTTCATAGTTGCAAAGTCTGTTAAAGGAATAAGACAACTACGTGTGCCCCTCTAGGTCTTCTTCGACCCTTGCCGATACCTGATCAGCCTGGTGATTCAGTATCCATTGATTTCATGGATGCTGGCGTCAAAAGTAGGCATGGAAAGAGCCAAGTCATGGTAATAGTGGATAGATTTAGCAAATATGTTGTTTTTGTTCCCTTACCTGCAGAAGCCCGTACATAGTTAGTAATTCAGAACTTTTTTTATTTTTGGGTTAGTGATCACGGGATCCCATTGTCCATAGTCAGTGACAGAGATATCCGGTTTACAAGTCAGAACTAGCAGGAGTTAATGAGAGTATACGGGTCAAAGTTGTTAATGTCGTCTGGCCGTCACCCCGAGATTAACGGTCAGACCGAGCAGATGAACAAGATCCTGCAACAAGTTCTGCACACGTATATTAGACCAGATCAAGTCAATTGGGATGAGATGTTACCCAAGGTAGCCAGCGCATATAACAACAACGTGCACTTAGCTACTTGTCGTACTCCCAATGAGCTGCATAAGTCCTTTAGACAGCGCAGACCGTTTGAAGGACTTAACCGGAACCAGATTCATAGGCTACCGCCCGGTACTAGGGAGTTTGCGATACAGCACGAGAAGGAGTTAGCTACCGTTGTTGAGAACCTTAGGAAGGCCCAGCACAGAATGATAGAGCAGGCTAACAAGCACCGTCGCTCGTCGCAGTTTCAAGTAGGCAACCTAGTCTGGGTCAAGTCCAAAGAATTTGCTCCTGAGGAAAACATTTCGCAGAAGTTACTGCCAGCGTACAGGGGACCATGGCCAGTTCTAGAGGTTAAGGGCAGACAGGATGGGCCTTCCTATACAATAGAGATCCCAGCACACCTCCACCTCTACCCTGTGTTCCATGCGTCAAAGTTGTTGCCGTGTGTCACAAGTCAACAGTTTCCATCAAGAAGATCCATGATCCCTCCGGACATGGATGGAAGATATGACATTGAGGGCATTGTAGGTGAAGACGTATTCAGAACAGGAGGTAGAGGTCGTCCACAGAAACAGTATAAGGTCCGATTTGCTTATCAGGAACCCGAGGACGACCGCTGGTTTCCTAAAACTGAACTTCTAGAAACAGCTCCCGACGTAGTTAGAGCCTACGAGAGAGAAAGGAAAGGTAAAAATCCGGTCTTGGACTGAATTATTCTCGGAGGACCTCGAATTTAGACCGGCGGGAGTGAAACGGTATTCACCTGTTAGCAGTAGCGAGTGCAGATCCCAGGGCTCAATCCCTAGTTCTTATCTTACCTGTGTACAGTACCTGTGTCGACCCCGAGAGTTGAACCCGTGACCTGTGTATTCGCAACAGTTGGTAGGCTTTCGTAGGTCCGTAGGTTGTAGGTGTTCGATCTGTAGACCTGTCGGATAGAGGTCTTAGTGAGTTCTAGAAGTCGTAGCTGTAGCCCTTCTGAAAGGTCAAAGTCGTAGCTGCTACAGTCCTGAAAGGTCAAGGTCGTAGCTGCTACAGTGTTCGAAAGGTCAAGCCCACAGACTTCCTGGTCTTTCAAAGTTGTCTCACATTTGGACAGAGGCAAGTGAGCAAGTGGTGAGAGCCCAACTGCGTTACGTCGGCAGTGCGACTGCATCAAGTTAGAACCTCCAAGTACTGTTAGCTGCTCTCAGACACATAAGACCCTGTGGGACCTGGACATCTAGAACTCTCTAGGCTAGAGCCTATTTGGACCCTGTAGCCCCATATAAAATTGCCACAATAAGAAGAGATAAGCTACGAGTAGAATTCATTCAGTTTCAGTTCGTGATTTTTGTGGAGTGATGAGAAGGAACAGCGCCCACCTTCGTAACTGAAGGAGAGAGTGCGGGTGCAGCCATAGCCAGTGTGTTCTGGCTCTATACCGCACGGTTTTGAGTACTGTCTGTTGTAAGCTGGCCCAATTGAAAGGGCCTTTTTCACCCAATGTAGGCCTCAGGCCTTGTAACTAAGCAACGTGGGCCATGTAAAAGTAAAGCAGCCTGAAAAGGTATCTCGCCAGGGCTCAGAAACGTGAAAAGCAGGTCAAGAGTCCAAGTTCTTTACCAACGGGCACATCCTGAAGCAAAGGGCATTGTCAAAAGACTTACCTGTTCGCCAGCAGTTGTGTAGGTCATGAATAAGGTGTGTCTGTACGAGTAGCCATTGTGCCTGTTCGTGAACAGAGGAAAGGTT